TCTCATTTCTTCAAGTTCTTAGAGTTGCATCTTCCGATTAACTAGTGAAGATTCGAGATCTGCATCACATGCCTTGATTGCCCAATAAGATTTGTGCTCGATCTCCATAGGTAGATGGCAAGCCTTGCCATAGAGCAACCGGAAGGGGGACATGCCTATAGGGGTCTTATAGGCAGTCCTGTAAGCCAAAAGAGCTTCCTCAAGCCTTTCACTCCAGTCCTTACGGGATGGTTTCACGATCTTCTCAAGTATTCGCTTCACTTCCCGGTTAGAGACTTTAGCTAACCCATTGGTCTGAGGGTAATAAGGAGTGGCCAGCTTGTGATTGACTCCATGTTTAGCCAATAGAGACTTGATGGTCCTGTTGCAGAAGTATGTTCCTTGGTCACTAATGATTGCTCTTAGAATGCCATACCTGCAAAAGATATGAGAACGTAAAAACTTGGCAACAGTAGAAGCATCATCTTTCCTAGTTGGCATTGCCTCTACCCATCGAGACACATAATCTACTGCAAGTAATATGTATGAAAACCCAAAAGACGAAAAGAAGGGACCCATAAAGTCCATGCCCCACACATCAAAGATTTCACAAAAATGCATAGGTCTTAAAGGCATATCATGCTTCCTACTTAAAGTCCCAAACCTCTGACACTTATCGCAAGACTTGCAGAAAGAATAAGCATCTTTAAATAGAGAATGCCAATAAAAACCACACTCTAAAACTCTCCTAGCAGTCCTATTAATACTAAAATGCCTCCCATAAGATAAATAATGGGCAAAGGTAAGGATAGAGTGGATCTCATTATTTAGAACACAGAATCTGATGATCTGGTCACTGCATTGCTTCTACAAGATTGGAACATCCCAGATATAGTATCTTGCCTCCCTCTTCAGCTTATCAATCTGAAATTTAGACATAGAAGGAGGTATAAGGTCAGTGATAAGATAATTAACTATATTAGACTACCAAGGCTCATGAACAGCTAAGGCAAAAAGTGGAGAATCAGGAAATGAGTCAATAACAAGATCATAAGAGTCAACTCCTTGTGTGCCTTTAGGTAACCGACTAAGGTGGTTAGCTACATGATTCTCCGCTCCGGCTCTATCTCTAATCTCGATATCAAACTCGTATAGCAGCAAAGCCCATCTCAGCAGTCTAGGTTTAGACTGAGGCTTCTTAAATAGGTACCGAACTACTGTATGATTTGTAAAAACAACCACTCGAGAGTTTATTAGATATTGTCTAAACTTATCCAAAGCAAAAATAATAGCAAACAGTTCCTTCTCTGTGGTGGTGTAATTCACTTGAGCGGAATCAAGTGTCTTGGAGGCATATGCGATGACTCTAGACTGTTTCTCCTTCCTCTATCAAGCATGGCACCTATTGCAAAGTTAGAAACATCACAAGATAGCTCAAAATGTAAATTCCAGTTAGGTGCAGTGAGAATAGGAGGCGAAACAAGCATAGATTTCAAAGTGTCAAAAGCATGTCTACACTTGTCATCAAATTTAAATTCAACATCTTTTTTCAACAAGGTAGAAAGAGGCAAAGCAACTTTACTAAAATCCTTAATAAAGCGACGATAGAAACTTGCATGCCCTAAGAAAGACCTCAAGTCCTTTAAACAAGTAGGATAGGGAAGGGATAAAATAACTTCAATTTTGGCCCTATCAACCTCAATCCCTTTTTGAGAGATGAGGTGATCTAAGACTATCCCTTTATCAACCATAAAATGACACTTTTCAAAGTTTAAAACCAATTTTTTATCAATACACCTCTCAAGAGCCTACTCTAGGCTATTTAAGCACTTATCAAAACTCACACTATAAACAGTAAAGTCATCCATAAAAACCTCCATGTTCTGCTCTAGAAGATCACTAAATATCGCTATCATGCACCTTTGAAAAGTGCCTGGAGCGTTACACAACCCAAATAGAATCCTTCGATAAGCAAATGTACTAAAAGGGCATGTAAAGGTAGTTTTGTCCTGATCTTCAGGAGCAATAGGCACTTGAAAATAGCCAGAAAAAACACCCAGAAAACAATAGTGAGACTTTTATGAAATTCTCTCCAACATCTGATCTATAAAAGGTAATGGAAAGTGGTCCTTTCTTGTGGCATCATTCAACTTCCTATAATCTATACACACTCTCCAAGCATTTTGAACCCTAGTTGGAATCAGTTCATCATTTTCATTTCTCACTACTATGATACTGCTCTTCTTTGGTACTACTTGTACTGCACTTACCCACTCGCTGTCTGATATGGGATAGATGATCCCAGCACTTAACAACTTTGAGACTTCCTTCTTAACCACATCCAGAATGAGAGGATTCAATCTCCTCTGTGGTTGCCTAACTGGTTTGGACCCTTCCTTCAAAAAGATCTTGTGTGTGCAAACTGATGGATTAATCCCTAGGATGTCCCCTAAAGACCATCCTATAGCCCTTTTATGACTCTTCAACATAGAAATCAATCTTTCTTCTTCAGAACTACTCAAAGAACTAGAAATAATAACAGACATTTTAGAATCAGCAGCAAGAAAGACATATTTCAAATTAGGGGGGAGGGGTTTCAGTTCTAAATGAGGAGGTTACACAACAGAAGGAACTAATTCTTTTATGTCAAGTGCATTCAATGCAAGTGGCTTGTCCATGTGGCTTGGGGAAGGAGATATAAACTCATCATGATGTGTGTGTCCTCCACTTCCCAACTCAGTGCCATTCTTGGATGACCTACAAAAAAGAGGATCGGTATCAATTTTATCAACAGAAATATTAAGTAAATCATAAGGAAGAGTGGGATTAGAAGTGACTAAGTCAGTAGCAATCTTGCTGCTAGCCTCTTCTAATGTTCTAGCACCACTCAAAGGAGAAGCCACTGGTGTAGCTTGTGTAACAGCTCCTTTATCATCAGTACCTACAAAATCAACAAAGTCGCCTTTCTCAAGGCTATCATCAAGTGTAACGTTCAAGGCAGAATCACAGTTAAGACAAGATGATGCATCAAAATCATAAGAGATGGAAAGGAGGTGATTAACTTCTAAACAGTTAACACACACCACGTCACCATAACATGAGCAAAAAGAAGAAGAATGAGGGGTAGATAAACAAGTAAATGCATCATCATGCTCAACAATCTCGTCATACCAGTCATGTTCATGCATCTCATATTCATGCAAATCATCAGCATCATTAACAGCACAATCAATCAAATTAACACCCAAGTAAGAGCAATCTGCATAACCTTGACTCATAGCATTAGAAATATTGAAGGTAATCTGTTGGTCCCCAAAGCCCATGGTAATGACCTCATCTTTCATATTAATTATGGTTTGGGTTGTTCTAAGATAAGGTCTTCCTAGAATCAAAGTGCTATCGGCTTTAATCTCATCAGTCATATCTAACACATAGAAGTCAGCTGGAAACACAAGGCCTTTCACTTGCACAAGAACATCCTCAAGAAAGCCCTTAGAGTGTCTCACAGTCCTATCAACTAGACCTAGCATAACACTAGTGTCTTTCAAGGCATGGATACCTAAACTCTCATAGACAGAGGTAGGCATAAAATTTATGGCTGCACCTAAGTCTAGTAAGGCATGTGAAATGTTTGTTTTGCTTATGGTACAGGGAATAGTGTAGGAACCCGGGTCTTTACATTTAATACGTAGCTGTGGCTTGAAGATAGCACTAACACTAGACCCCAATTGGATTCTCTCACTATGTCTATACTTCCTCTTGTTTGTACATAGATCTCTAAAAAACTTAGCACACTTAGGCATCTTCTTAATCAAATCAAGTAATGGCACATTAACCTCAAGTTTGCTAAACATTTCCAAAAGCTCATCATTATCTTTTTTTTCAACAACTTTCTTACTCATGAGATATGAATGAGGAAAAGGCAAGTCAGAAATGTTTACCTCATCACATTTGGGAGGTGATCCTTTCTCTATTGGCTCTTTGGATTGAATGGAGGTCTCTTGAGTAGCCTTGAGAATGTCTTGAGTGGTTTTAGAAGGAGGAGACTCAACTTCTATCTCTTCGTCAACCAGTTCTTCATCCTCTTCATCTTCTTTGAATTGCATTGTCTTAGCACCAATTTCCTTACTGCTTCTCAATGTAATTGCATTCAAAGATTTAGGATTTATCACCGTGTTAGAAGGCATTAAACCAGTAGCCTTAGCTTATTGTTCACTCACACCATTTGACAACTTAGTGACATAAGAAGTCAAATTAGAGATTCTAGTTTCCCATTACTCCACCCTATTCTTTAGGGCTGCAAATCTAACTCTAGATTTAGCTTCAGACTTAGATATGTGCTCAGTCATTGCCTCAATGCCCTTGAGTATTCGAGAGAACCACTCATCATCCTTAAACTACGGTTGCTGTGGGGTAGACATGGCTTTAGAAGATTCTCTTTGTAACCCTCCATAGTAAGATTGCCCTTGAGGAACCATATTCCCTTGAAACCTTTCTTGAACCTGCCTATTATCACCTCCTCCCCATCGGAAATTTGGATGAGCTTTCCATCTTCATTATATGTATTTGAGTATGGGTTCCATTGCTTAGATTGATTGGCCCTTCCTTGATACATGACAGAAACTTCCTCATATCTATGAGGACAAGCAGCAGAGATGTGCATAACAGAGTTACAATGTGTACAACTAGGTGCAGTCATCTCCATAGAATTAGGATTCCGAGTGTCAACAGGGAGAGTGTGAGATGCAAGCTTATTCAACTGTGTAGTCAAAGCAACAATTTGAGAAGTGAATATGTCCAATTGAGGAATGTGGACTGAAGAAGGATTAGTATGCATTGCATTGACATTTTTAGACTCCTTGATGTTATACTGTTGATGGTTCAAGGCCATTTTCTTGATAAGTTCCCATGCCTCCTCAACAGTTAAATCAATGAGAGAACCTCTAGAAGTAGCATCCAACATCCCCTTGTCTTGGGTCTTAAGTCTATCATAAAAGTATTGGACTAACTGCTCATCTGGAATATGATGATGTGGACATCCAAAAAGCAAGTCCTGAAAACGGTTCCAGTAGTCATAAAGTGACTCATCATAGTCTTGCTTTGCAGAGTAGATCTCTTTTCTCAATGTGGAAGTCCAGGAAGCAGGGAAGTACTTCTCTAAGAATGCTTTTATGAGGTTGTTCCAGTTATGGTAGGCATTTGCCATATGCCTAGGCAAGCTCATGTACCATTCTCGCGCTTTACCCTCTAGAGACAAGTGGAATACCTTCCAAAGAACCTCATCCAGATTAGCCCCAACCGGCTTCATGCTAGAACATACTCCCTCCATTCTTTATTATAAGAGACATTTGATACTTATGGCATGTTCCTATATATAAGAGACACTTAAAAGTTGTCTCTATTTTTTGTATTGATTTCCTATTTTACCCCTATTTATTTTGTTTCTAACTCATACTCTCTCTCCTCCCACTTCTCTTTCTTTTAATAATTTAATTGTTCTCTCTCATACTCTCTCTCCTTATTAATAGGGGCATTGTTGGAAAAAAACATTATACTTTTTACACATTAATTGTCCTCAACTAATTTTAACTATTTTTTTGATCAACGTAATTTAGTTATTTGTCTCTTATAATAAGGAACGGAGGGAGTACCATAGAGAGAGATTTCAGATGACTGTACGGGTCAAACCGTAGAATTTAGGCAAATAATTAAGTTTGGACCTTTAATCTCAAAATTGACATCAATATTAGGGCATGTAACATTAAAAGGATCATAATTTGCATCAGAAGTAGTGGCTTCCCTAATGGTTCTTCTTCTAAGGTTACCTCCATTATTCTCTCCTACTCTATCATGTTCCCCGTTATGTCCATTACCCCCTCTATCATTACCACCATTGTTGTTACCGTTAGGATTATTAACAGTTTCCATTATGTCACCTAAGTCAACCACCAAATCTAGACCAGTTAAATTGTCTAGTTCAACCTCAGTAGTCCTTTCTACTCTTTGGTCTTGTCTAACTTCCCTTAAAGAACTTTGAAGCTCAGGATTGGAAGGAACTAGGGTTTTAGATCTACTCCTTCTTGGCATAAACAATCAACTAACCAGAAGCAATTAAGCAAAAAAAAAAAAAAAAACAGATGAATGCAGTGTAATGCAAGTTTATGTGTATGAGAATGAAAATGCAAGAGGTAAAATGAAAATGAAAATGAAAAATGCAAATGAATGAAAAATCAAGATATTTAGTTATGTTTTTGAAAAATTTTCTATGCAAAGAAAAGAAATGCTATGAAAAATCAAAAGAAACAAATGCAAACTACTAAAGAAAATGCAAAAACTAACAAAAATGAAAACTAATAAGGCTCAACAAATAAACCCCAATCAAAGTTACTTGACACTTAATTACTAGGGAACCAATTTCTTGGCTCCCCGACAATAGTGCCACTTGAAGTTAATTGCCCTTAATTTGTCGCTTTGGGTTTACTCCAAAAATTAACCGAATTAATGCAATATAGTGCATAGTCCGGGTTGTATTCACTTTAAGGAGCCGAAAATGAAATTAAATCCTAGTAAATACATACAAGTAACCTAAGCTATAAAAAAGATTTTTGATTGGATAATTTCTAATTAAACACCATGAATTAAATTGAAATTAAAATACTTTTTTTTGTTTTTATATACAAATGATCAAAATGAATGAAGATTAAAGAAATGAAAATGAAACAAGCAAATAACAATGATAATAATCAATCCTTCAATTCAACAACATAGGCAATCCTCACTCCAAAAGATACGGGAGTTAAAATAATGAATTAAGAATTATAATTAAACTTTTAATCTAACAACCGAACCACCTCGAATTGCCACAAAAATATTTTCCTGAAATCCCAACTTACTAACTGCAACCAAAATAATAAAATGGGATTAAGGATGCTAAAAACCAATGCTTAATTAGAACTCTTAATTCCAAAACAACAGAATTAAAATTAGCAAAAGACAATATGATCCAAGATTCCAAGCCACTTTAGAAAATCACAATATATTAACTCCAAAATCAATACAAATGTCATAACCACAACATTATAATTGAAATTAAAGTTATAAACAGTCCAATGTCAAATGCTAAACAATAATCCAGTCACAATAATCTCCAAATATAATCAGATTAAACAATAAAATTTTTTTAATAATCAGAATAATTATTCTAAGACCTAGGAATTGTTAAACAATTATTAGATAGGAAATTAAAGTAACTAACCTCCCCTTTGATGATCCGAACTCCTGCTATTGTTGTTGAATTAGAGAATTATTAAGCTCTAGCCACGGTTTGCCATCAAAAATGCCATATTCAGAACTTTGCTACAGGATTCCAGGAAAGAGATGTGACGAAACAGTGCAATGAAGGATGACGCTGCCCAGCTCCCTGTTTTCTGCCTCTGCTCGTCGCTAGTTCTGTCACGCCGAGAACGGAAGGAATAGAGAAGTCAACGATGATGGTCACGTCGCTGGTCACTCGCCTCTGTTTGCCGTCGCGCCTCACTCCTCTTTCTTTCTTTCTTCCCGCAGTCACTCCCTGTTTGCGTCGCTGGTTCTTTGTTTTTTTCTTTCGTCGCCGCCCGCTCGTCCCCCTCTTGAATGAAGGTGATGAATGAATTATATAGGATATTAGGTTGGGGGGTAAAACGTTGCCTTTTGCTCCCCCTTTATTATTATATATATTATTTATTTATTTTATTTATTTTTTTTTCTTCTTCTTTTTTTTCATTTTTATTTTTAAATCTTCCAAAAACCTACAATCAAAATTTAGGAATAAGGTAGCATTAATTGTCCTTAAAAATCAATTAATTATAATTAAACCAAAATATGACAATTTTGCTCCTAAAAATTAATAATTCAAAATAAAATATAATAAACCAATTAACAATCAATTAAGACAAAAAAGGACCAATTAAGTTAACAAAACCCATATAAAAGATATCAAAATATATAAAAATAATTGAGTTTGTCACTCTCCTCCTCTTTTCTCCCTCTCTCTTCCTCTTCCCTCTCCCCTCTCCCTCTTTTATTCTATTTCCCTTCACCATCTAACTAACCCATCCCTCTTTTTCTTCATTCTTCAATTAATTACCTCTCCATTTTTTCAACTTTCTTTACTACTCCCATTTTTTTCCACCGCCATCTGTCCTTTACTCTTTTTCTCTCTACAATTAATACTTTTCCCCTTTTTCAACTTTCTGTTACACCACCCCCACCTTTCCACCGTCGGTAAAGGGGGTGGATTTTTTTAAATTAATAATAATAAAAAAATATTATTATATATATTACATTTTTCTTTTAAAAAAAAGTATGTCACATCATGTCACTGCCACCTGCCACATCCCTCACCCCTACCACCATGTCATGTCGTCACCACCTGCCAACTTAAAAAGGTACTGTTGATAGCCTGCCTTTCAAGCAAGGTATTGAAAACCGGACCGGCAATTGAACCGGTCAAGGTGATGGGTCAAGGGTCATTGGGTTAGACCGGAGTTAAACCGGGGGTCAAACCGGTAAGAAATAAACAAATAAAAAATAATTTAAATGTTCACTGAGAATTAGATATCAATTTAATATCTTGAATTACTAGTAAAATAATTACATTCTTACAATTTCTTATAATATCATAGTACTAAAATCACTAAATATTCATCCCAACAAAATATCAAAATGGATATATGATAATAAAATATTTTTTCTTATAATTACTCAATCACTAAGTCCTAATTATCAACAGCTTTTTTAAAAAAATCATCAAAATATTTTTTTTTAAAAAAAGAGAAGACCGGGTTGATCCACCAAACCGGACGGGTCACCCCGGTTCAGTCCGAGTCACCCCGGTTCAAGCCGGGTCACACCGGGTTACACAGTAACCCGGTTCACAGCTTAACCGGACCGGTTTTCTGGCCGGTTCACCGGTTTCCGGTCTGAACCGGCCGGTCCGGTCTGGTTTTCAATACAATGCTTTCAAGACTTTCAGCAATGATTTTGAAAGTCACAGATAAAAGTCTGATTGAATTTTAGCAGCAACTTTTTTTTGCAGTCACTAAAAGTGCTTTTTTTTTTTGGGTAGTGTATTGTACCAGAGACAAATGTCATGTGTTATTTCTTTTCATATATGTTGGGCAGCTTCTACATGTGTGTACTTAAATTGTCCATTCCAAAATTGGTTGATCAATAATGGAGCTTAGTGCATAAACAATGGTTTAATCAAAGACTGTTACTTACATGTTGGCAATGTACCGTGAGAATTTAAGTTGCAAAGATTATAAACTTTTTAATACTAAGGTTTTGCATCATGATGTAGTGTTCAACCTATTTCTATATGTCCCGATGAGCAAAGTCGCTCTACCATGTTTTTTAGTGACGAAAATTAGTGATGGGAATTCTGTCTCTTAAAATTTTGTGACAAAAATTAATAACGGAAGTATTTCATCATCAAATATTTAGTGATGGAATTACCTATGAATTATAATGAAATTTAGCAATGGAATAATTCCATCACTAATCTATGGATAAATTTAGTGAATAAATTTTTGTTAATAATCCATTGAAAATTAGTAAGGAATTTTTTATTACTAATTCCGGAGCATCTAGGGAGCGAACTCGCTCTACATTATCTTAATGACCAAAATCGTTAATTAATATTATATATATAATTGGTTATATTGATGGAGTTGAGTGCTGTGAAGAAGATGCTTTGGTCAACAAGTTAACTGAAATTCAGTGCGGCAGCAAGTTGTCGACAGAAGGATTACGTTCAAGTTAACTCAAATAATGTTAAAGTTTTACAATGCTGCATGCAGATCAATTTTGCTTAGAGACCAAATGTTAAAAGATCAATCAGTATAGTTCTCAAGTTAAATATATCGTTACATTAAGATGGACAAAAACAAGTATTGCTATACTTGAACACCCACATGACTTGTTTTTGTGCCATATTAAAAGTTCAGGTGACTAAGTTTCGTGAGCTTACTAACATCAAGATATATGTCAACACTCAAAGAATAAATAGAGATATTTACATATTATTGCCCAACAACGTAACAAGATCCTTGAAGAATATTAGGAGTCACATATTTACTAACTATAACA